GCGAGTGGGGCGGATCCTGATGGAGTAGGAGGCAAACTTCAGTCTCCTTCCTGAGCCACTAGGGCCCTGCATGCCCAGCTGCAGACGCTGACCCGGGAGTTCCCCCCCGCCCCCATCTGTATTCTGCAAACCCCCTGGGTCTTGTTCAGCCCCAGCAGCCCCGACCTGGCCTGTCTGGGGGTTAACGGAGCAGGTTTGGGGGGCGGAGGCTTTCGGCAGGCGTTAATGTGTCGCTGACGTGGGCGTCTTACCCGATTGCAAAGCCCGGCTCAGGTTCTCTCGGCCGGAGCGAGGAGGGGGATTGGGTGACAGCGAGAGGCTGTATCGGTGACGCGGCCTGGGCCGGGAGTGTGCACGCCGCCGGATACAAGTTGCTCCCTAATGTTCCAGCCAAGGAATACATGATCCCTGGCAGGATCCCACCGAGCTGCTGTTTGGGGAGGAGAGGAGAGGGGGGTCTGGCAGCTATCCTTGCCACCCTCCCCCAACCCTGGGCACCTCTTGGCCCTCCCTTCCCAACTGGGACGCCAGCCTCATGAGTAACTCTAGGAAAGCAGGAGCAAGGGAACCATGGTTGGATTTCTGGAGCTGGGGAGCCCCCTGCCGTAGGCCCTGAGAGGTGGATCAGTGGATTGAAAACACAACCAGCTCTCCCCATCCAGCCCCCTCCCTCTCCCTCTGGCAGACAAGGATTCAGCTAAAGTGAGACCTGGTGTCTTTTGTAAAAGCTTCGTCAGCTGGGCTGTGATTTTGCACAAACTAAACCATGTCCGGTTTTCCCCTGATCCCTCATTTCACATGGTGGGAGGATGCGGGGATAGGAAGGCGAGGCCGATGGAGGAGTAGGCTGTTGTCACTGTGACCGCTTCAGACCCAGCTTCGGGTGCAGTGGAGATCAGAGGACGCGCCAGGGTGTTGATCGGAGCAAGATAATGCTCTGGCGAATACGGAATAACAACTCTAGGGGTAGCGGGAGCTAGACAGGTGTAAATCAGTTTGGGAAATACCAGCCCCCTAGCCACGCACACCTCAAATCCATTCACTTTACAGGGCGTCTGCTCACACATTTTCTGTCTCCTACCTCCCGAAAGGGATCGGAACTGGGCCATCCACTTGCTACTCATGATTCTGGCTCGCAGATAAATTCCAGGTTTGCAAAATTACAAATGACAGCAAGCGGGAACAAAGAGCTCTGTTTGCATCCTTATTATATGCCTTCTCCCTGGCCATACCTGTGCCGCTGGTGGCCCCTTCAGAAAAGAGGAACTGCTGCATTCAAGCTGGACCAGGCCATTTTCTTGAGTGCCCAGCAGACCCCCAAAAAACAAAATACACACAGCAGAGTTTGAGAAGATCCAGGACCCAGGCTTCCAGTTCATGATAATCTCTGTAGCCGACACTGTACAGACAATAGGGGAGGCTGGCCTGCGTGCTGGGCTGCACATCCTGGTTTGTTATTGTAGGGTTGCACAGGAATGCCAGGCTGCATGCTCTCGTTTGCTATTGCAGGGTCGCACAGGAATGCCAGGCTGCATACCCTTGTTTGTTATTGTAGGGTTACACAAGAGCAGTGGGCTGCACATCCTGGTTTGTTATTGTAGGGTTATTTATTAGGGTTATATGTTTTTAAAGGAAAAATTCAATCTAAACTATTCATTCTAAAACCAGCCGCAGACCAGGAGAGAGATGTTAGTGCTCAGCTGGCTCTTCCGCCCGTAGAGCTTGTCCCCTTACTGTTAGAGCTGAGGATTCAGTGGGCATGGGATCTTGGCACTCTCTCATTATTCCAGCAGGAGCTGAGCACCAGTGCCTGGGCCCAGTGTCCAAACCAAGTTTTTAAAGCTGACGATGCTGGAAGAGGAAGAACAGTGACGGCAATAATGCTCTTCAGCCAGGGGCATTGTGGGGGTTTCCTTCTGTCCTCTGGAGTATCAGGGCTTGGGCACTGCCGGAGATAGGATGCTGCACCAAGTGGATCTGGCATTGTACCGCCTCGCTTCTTACCTGCCTTCCAAGGCTGATGTTCTGTGGTCTATGGGCCCGATCCAGCGCCTAATGCAGTCAGTGGGGGGTGGCGTGAGGTTGAAGACGGGAGAGTTATGCTGGGGTACATGCTGCTTTTCTGCCCGGCTTTTCAGTTGGCCTGGCGAGGGGTTCACTTTATATAAAAGGGGCATCACTCATTTATGCCCAGGGTGTAGGTTTGGTTAATACAGCTTGGCAGAATAGGGGATTCATTTCAACGATCTGGTGAATGAGAAGATTTCAGGGTAAAACCGTGCCACTTCCAAACACCAAGGCCTTGCATAGTGACTGGTGGCTGCTGGCTGGTCATTGTAACTGACAAGACACACACCATGCGACTGACCGGCTCCTGATTCCCAACTGGTTCATTCTTCCAGGCCTGATCTTTTCCTGTTTTATTTAATGAATACATTTGTTTCCTCCAGCAAACAAAGAAAGCCCTAAAACACACATCGTCAGCACCTGAGAAAACCCGAGTGCACAGATAAGCCTGAGGCCTCATGAGATGAGAGAAAGGGAGGATTGCTCAGTGGTTAGGGTGCAAATCTGGGACTTAGAAGACTTTGCATCAATACCCTGTTCTGCCAGAGACTTCCTGTCTGAGCACGTGTAGATTTCTGTGCCTCAGTTCCCCCATCTGTACAATGGGCGTAACAGCACTGTCCTGCCTCCCAGGTGTTGTGAGAATAAATACTTTAAAGGTTGTGAGGATGTGAGGTACATCAGGCTCTGTTGAACCCAGTGGGTTTGAGTAAGATCCTGAGAGGCTGTAGTAGGATTTGTTCAGCAGTGATCAGGTTCACTGCATGGCTTTGGATAATGCACGTGAGTAGCTGCTAGGCTGGGACACTTGACTTTGGCAAGTAGCGTATTTCGGTTTTCTCAGGGCTGAGAGAGGAAAAGTTCGACTTGGCGTTGATTGAAATTGTGAATTGGGGTTGGGTGCGGGGGGCTGGACTGACAGCTGTAGGGACCACAGGGCCTGAGCTTCCACCCTCCAGCACACCAATTCTGAGACCCTCCCGCCCTTATGAAACCCCCTGTGATGATTTTGCAGTGTTTTGCCTGGTGTTAAGTGGGAACTAAAGGCATGTGCTGCCACCTGCTGATCCACAGGTGAAATGCTTTCTTTCTGTAAGTGCAAGTACCCAGGGGCAGCGATTGCAGGACTGTTATTTAGCTGTCTGGCTTGACACATTCCTGGGGGCCTGTGAATGACACTCTAAAAGATAATATAACAACTTCCATTACATTCTGCCTCCTGTAAAACTTCCCCTCCTATCCTACATGCTGTTGCAGTGTTCCCCTGTGCTGTTAAACACAATGTTCCACCCCAGAGATGGCTGCATTAGGTCCTGGTGAAAATCCCTTGTTGGCCTTTTCCTAGCCTACACCTGGTCTAGGTCAGAAAATAATTTTCTTTACGTTGATGGATGTCTCTGCTTGTCACAGAATCGTCTTCTGTGGGGCTGGTGTCCCATCTCCCCCAAGATCATCTGCAGGCTTATTCCTTGCCCGAGGATCATCCTTTGCACATGTTGGGTTCATTGTGACCAAATTCGAGTCAGGTGCTCTCATGATGGCGTGGGGGGGGATAAGTAGGTGGATGTATTTGTATTCCTGATTCCGTTCCACTCTTCCCCCTGTTCTCCTCCTCCCCAGTGTTGTGCATTTGCCATCTCTTTCTGTTGCTTCTGCCAGAGGGGCCCCTACAATAGAAGAGGCCTGGTAGGAATATGACCCAGGGCTCCACTGTCTCTGGAGGGGAGAGCTATATTCACATCTAGAACCGAAAATAACCCTCTTTCACGCCAGTGGCTGTATTAAAGGTCACAAGTCAGCTAAGTATAGGCTGTCACCGGCTCACTCCTATATATAAGCACTCGGGAGCCCTGCTGACATCCCAGCTGTTAAAATCATATTGGCTGCGAGCAAAGTGTTCAAAAGGTCTCCCAGCATATATGGGGGTAACTACAATGGATGAAACAGCAGATGACTTAGGCACAGACACACACACAGAGCTTGAGGCTGATCATACCAATAATAACTCATCCAGAAGGATCCCCCCAGCACTGCAGAGACTAGATACATACTGTACAGGGATGACTTAGCCACCACAAACATGCATTCCCCTCCTGGTGGACTGGGACACCCATTCTTGCAATGAGACACAGCAATGTGACACACGAGGTTTTAATGTGGACCCTGCGTTCAGCTACCGAAAAGGAACCTTGCAGCTTTGCCAAAGCTCCCAAATCCGATGCAAAGCATCTCCTGCTATTCCCCTCCTGAGCCCTGTATATCCCTGCCAGCTGCCCCCAGACATGACCTGCAGGGACATGGTCTCTCTCAAGCTAAGCCTGCCAAACCCTGAGGTGATTTTGCCCTGGGGGCAAATGAAAACCAGCAGGAGAGAAGCAGGCCACCCCACCACCATCTCCTCCGCAGTGGGATTGGCCCTCTGAGCCCCACACCCCAAAGAGACGACGGTTTTTCCACCCAGCCTGAGCCGATTGAGGCGCTGTGCAGAAATCGTTCGTGGCATGGCGTTGCCCTACAGACACCCGGTCTCGTGCGCATCCCAGCGTCGATCTGGGCATGTGTGTGACCAAGTGTGCGCATTCAATAACATACCTGCGCCTCTCTTGGCTCGATGTAACGATACACAGTGGTCTGTGTCTGTGGGGGCCACTCCTTGGCCCAGTGCGACTTAGTCTTGTGAGAGTCGCAGAGGGGTGCCCTCGTGGGGAATGGCACTGGAAGGAAAGGTCTCTCCTTTATGGGGAGATGGTGCCCAAGGCACTGCGATACTTGGCATGGCTCTCATTAGGTTATTCAGCCCTCCCTCCCTCCCTCCCTCCATGCCTGCTGGAGAGGTGCCAGGCAGTCAGAAAGAGGCGTACATAGGGCTGGCCCCGCAGGTTACACGGGTTGCTCACGGAGAAGTCACTCTGCTTTGTCCCTTCCTCCTCCAGAGCGGGAATCCCGCGAGCACGAGGAGCCGACCACCTCGGAGATGGCAGAGGAGACCTACTCGCCCAAGGTGTACCGGCCCAAGCATGGACGCCTCTCCGAGCTCAAGGCCGAGGCCCTGAAGAAAGATCGCAGGAAGAAGCTGACCTTGTCCAAGTTCGTCGGCGGGGCGGAGAACACGGCGCATCCCCGGGTCGCCGTCCCCGAGCTGAGGCAGGAGTTCGAGCTGGTGAGTGCTGGGTTCCCCTCGCCTGCCCCTTTTCTCCCGCCTGCCCCCTAGTGCCCCCAGCAGCAGGTGCTGAGAGAGATGGGCATGGTTGCCCGAGGGGGGCCATATTGCCACGCAGGAGATGAGGCTTTGCCCTGCTCTCTCCTGGCCCCGCGCTGGGAAAATCCATCCCTTCCAGGAGCCCAGCGGGTCACTGACTTGTGGGGCGTGCGGGATTCCCGGCTCTCAGTTGGTGATGGGGCCAGGCCTTGCTGGGCACCGCCTCCTCGCGGCGCCTCTCGCTGATCCTCTCGCTCCTCTGGCAGGGCCCTTGCCGCAGGCAGATGGAGGCTTCGCTGCAGGAGATCAAAACCAGCGAACGAATGACTCCCCGAGCCGTTCACCTTCCCAACTGCGACCGGAAGGGATTCTACAAGAGGAAACAGGTGAGCTCCCCCACGGGAAACCAGCATGGCCCCTCCCCACGGCAAGGGTCTGATTCTGTCAGGGCCTCTCTCCCCCGTAGCTCTGTGTTGAACCAATATGGTGCAAGGGGACGTTAATGATGACCCCTAGCTCTTACACAGCACTTCCTGTCCTTAACTCTCAAAGTGCTTCACCAAGCATCGCGCCTCGGTTTCCCCATCTGTAAAACGAGGGTAGAGCAGTGACGCGACCTGCCCACGCTCACCGACAGAGCCAGGAACAGAAACTGACCTAGAGCCCCGGTAGCCGCTAGGCAACACTGCTGTCAGGCCACTGGGGCTGCCCTCTTTCAGCTGAGATGTAAAACTGCGACCAGGAGTGGCACGAGTCAGGGCGTGGGTTCCAGGGCTCACCAGTCGTGTGCGCAAACTGTGCCGTCGGTTCGCCGGTTCTCTCCCACAGTGCTCTGCCCTAGACACGCCCTGCAGGGTTCCTCTGGTCGTCTTAGTGGTGGGCGGTCTTATTACCCACCCTCCTGGGGGGTCGACCAAGTCAAGTGGCATGAGGCACCCCATGCAGCAGCTAGCAGGAAGCTGCATCTTCCCTGAATCATTTATGAGTAGAAGCACCCGGAGGCCCTGGCCTTGGGAATCGGGGGCCTGGGGTCCACTGTGCTAGGCATGCTGCACACCGGGAGCAAGAGACAGAGCTCACGGTCCACCTGGAGAAGCCGGGCACAGGGTGGGAGAAAGGGAGGATTACTGACCCCATTTCACAGAGTGGGAACTGAGGCCCAGAAGGTTGAGCTGACTTGCCCAAGGTCGCACGGAGCCAGGAACTGAGCCCGGTTCTCTCCTGAGTCCTGCACAGCACCTGAGCCCTGGGGCTAGCCTTTGGCGAGGTCGAGGGCTGGTGCCAGGTTGCGCCCCATTAGACCTGGCGGCCGCGTCTCGTCCCCGGCTCGGAGCCACGCGGCACTGCGACCTGGGCTCTGCTCCAGGCACCGTTACTTCCCCGTGACGCGCCCGCCGCTGAGCTCCCTTTGCGTCTCTCCTCGCTTCCCCAGTGCAAGCCGTCCCGGGGGCGGAAGCGCGGGCTGTGCTGGTGTGTGGACAAGTACGGACTGAAGCTGCCGGGGACCAATTACGTGGCCGGCGACCTGCAATGTCACAGCTTCGACAGCGGCGTCACCGAGTGAAGGGCCTGCCCCGTCCCCTGCCCCCCGCCCCCACGCCTCCCCACGCCCCGGGACTCCGAACCCTTTCATCTCATTTCGAAAAACGGAAGAAACTGAGGACCTCGGAATCTGCAGCCCGTCCTCGCCTGCTCGGCGACGGCGACTAAAGGAGAAGAGGGAAGCAGAAGTCAAACCGGCGCCGCCTTCCCAGTACAGACCCCCCCCAAGATGCCCCCAAACTGCTCTCGACTCCCCATGCAGGGACGCAGCCAGCGCCAACGTAGGAATCGACTTGGGGGCTTTTCTATTGTGGGTTTGGTTTGGTTTGTTGATATGGGAGGGGGGGTGTCTTTTTTTGTTTGTTTTGGTTTTTAGACTAGCCAGCAACTTTCTAAACGGTCTCCAGCGAAACCAGACAAAGCCCTGCGACGGGGTACACGTCCACCGCTCAGCCCTTGCGTTTGAGTGGCTTGCTTGGCTCTGCCAGAGCTAACAGTGCCCTCCACTGGCACCAAAAGTCCTTTGATTGATATCTCTGTGGAGATAGGGCACAGCTTTCTGGGCAATCGGCGTCTAGAACATTGTTGTAAATGGGATTGCATTTCGTTAGGAAACGAGGCCGGGGATACCAGCTCCTGCCAGCAAAAAACGGTTATGGTTCCTTTAAAAAAAACCCCAAACCAGCCAAAAGATAACCAATCACCTTTCAGTTCCATCGGGGATCGTTGTCCCTGAGCAGCGTCAGGAATCTGATTTCCTGTCACGTGAGATTATTTTAAATGTTGTTGGCCATCGGTGTGTGGCAATTTATGTTCTGTACGGCAGACAGGATATTGGGCTAGATGGACCTTTGGTCTGACCCAGTCTGGCCGCTCTTGTGTCCTGTAGACATTAACGGGCCTTTTCCCATGCTTAAAATCCTGCACTAGGTCAAGTGTTTGGAAAATCAGCGCCCAAATTCAGGCAGAAGGACCCCCACACACACACACACACACACAATCCTGCAAACAATTTAGCATGTGTATAACTTTACTCACGGGTGCAGTCCCACAGACAGCTTTGCTTAAATGGCTGTGGGATCGGGCTCCAAAATCTTTACCACCCTCTGCCATGATGGGAAAACGAATGATATTGTCCTTGCCCATCATAAGAATCGTTTGCCCAGGGTGTGTGCGCACACCCACCCACAAATGCAAACCTCTCTCTTCTTCTGTTGCAATGGTAAATTTACAAATGTCAAGTCTCTCCCCCTGCAATGAGCTCCATAGACACTTAGGCCTGGCAGAGCTTATTGTGGGATCGGTGCCCTAATTTGGCCAGGACCGTTTGGCCAGCTTGTCGGCTGTTGTGACCGACACACGGAAGCCACTGATCTGACCAACTCAAGCGGCATCTTCAGGTGTGGCCAGGTCGCTGCAGCCTTTGGACTTGTGTATTTTTTAACTCTTGGGACCGTTTTTTTCCCCCCTACTTTCACCACGACAAGGGTCTTTGTTAAGGTCGCTTCCAACGAGACTCCGCAGCAAAGAGGACGGGGCGTTTGGCTGACTCCCTGCTTTGGCCAGCTAACGGCGCTCAAGCTGTTGCTGTCCATTGCTTTGTCGCTGAGTGTGCGGACGCGCCCACCGAAAGAACTAGCCCCCGCCCGCATCCTGGCAGAGGCTCCGACTGGCGCAGCTCGTTGCAAGCACGCCCAGGCAGCGTGCTAATTAGAGACACGAAGAGCGTGCCGGTTTCTTCCCCGTACCAGCCAGGACGGGCCCTGCTGCGGGCTGATCCTCAGGAAAGCCAGAGCGACACCCGCAACACACTAGTGCAGATCAAAGGGAACCAAGGAATCTCCCCATGCTAGACTGGCTACTGCATGACCGGGACTTGTGGGGTTTCTTCCTCGACCTTCCCAGAGGACCATGGGTCTGGCATTGCGGGGGCTGGGCAGTGCCTCCCTCCCCCGCCGGGCTTTGGGCAGCCAGGGGGGGAGTGGTCGCCCCGCTGGTTTTGCTGAGCGGAGCAGAGGGTTTTGCCCCGTGGGAGATGGGTAGGGAGTCTGTGTGTGCCAGCAGCCCCTGTCGGTGCTATGACGCTGTCCTCCCAATACCGGAGCGTGCTGTGCTCACGGAGCCTGATTCTCCGTTCCCCAGGCCCCTGCTCAGGGCAGAGGGCGTCTTGTAGTCTAGGGCTGGGCAGCCCCCAGCATCAGTAGGGCAGCCTCAGGGCTGCTCTGGCTTGCGCTCTGGCCCCAGTGCAGTGTGCTCTGGCCACCCTTCCTCCCACGGCCAGCCGGAGACGCAGTGTAACCGGGAACCAGGCCCACAGACCAGGCCCTGGAGAGGGAAGCGGAGACCTAGGCTCAGAGGCGGGCAGTGATTTGAGAGGGGAAGCTGCCCCAAATGCCCTTCTCCCATCACCAGGTGGCGCCATTTCCCAGGGCAAGGCTGGCCGTGCAGGTCCCTGGGCCTCGCCATATGCGATGTGTCCCCGGTCCAGGGACCCCGCCCCGCCCACACACAAACACCCAGCCCGAGCTTTGGTGCAGGGAGGTGCAGAAAGCTCGCGACACTTTTCCCTCGCCCCGCTCGCGTCTTCCAGGCTGCCAGCCAAATGCGTGTGGGGGACGCAGGGTCACCCCCAGGTACTCAGTGGAGTTACAGGAGGCATTTATTCTATGCATGTCCACAGATAGCACATCCATTGGGACCTGCCCCCCCCCCCGGCCCACTCTAACCCCGTGAACCATGAAAAACGGGCCACCCTGCAGCCCTGGGCATCTCTCCAACTTGTCCTGGAAGCTCTGGGCTACTTGAAGGGAGAGTGAGCACACGTTGCTGCGGCCGGGGAGCCCGCACAGTTCAAAGGCGTTTGACGTTGGTGGGCTGGGTCAGTCCACCGGAAATGGAAAGAAGAGGGGACGTTTGCCAAAGTCACAGCTATATCCTGGTCCGGCTCTGCTCCCGCTCCCAGGGGACAGACCCGGGGTGATCCCACCTGGCTTCGGAGGTCACTGGGTGCATTATAGGGGAGCCACAGCCTTGAAGATCGGGGTAGGTGGCAGAGAAGAGAGCACGGGGGCCATGTACACCCCAAAGGGGGACGGACTGCGCTAGCAAAGCTCTCGCCTGGGGAGGCAGTGCCCCCATCCGCCTGGCTTGGCCAGTCCCTGTGCCGCACTCCCTCCCCAAGTGACCCCGAGTCCTGATTCTTTTAGGCCAGTACCCATCGTCTTCCCTTCTCGTGCTTTTTCGCCCTTGCTTGTTCATTTGTTTTGCTGTTGCTTTAGTCCCCGAAACTTGAAAGCTGCGAAAGCCTGGCTGGGCAGGTGATGTGCCCCGGGGCCGGGCTGGGGTCTCACCGTGTCTGCACTCAGCTAGGGATGGCAACTACTGGCTGGGGGCGGGAAGGGTCACTTCCAAGCTGTGTCTTATAGCTTGCACCCTGAGCCCTTTTATTGAAAAGTTGATGGGGCAAAGATGGGTCTAAATTTGCCTCTCGGCTACCCCAGGGTCAAGCCCCAAGCCATTGCAGTCAGTAGCACGGCTCCCATTGCTTTTACTGGGGGGAGAACTTAGTTCTCGCTTCTCTGCTCTCAGAGGTTTTTATGGGGGGGAGTGGGAGAGAAAAGGACTGTCTCTGTGGCTCCAGTGGGATCCCCCGCACGGTACACACCAGGGGCGGGGGGGGGGGCACTAGACAAATGCTGGGCCTGGGTCAGCAGCCTAGAAAAAGCCCTGACTCTCCACGTTAAAGAGCTGAGCGTCGCCCCCATCTCACTGGCTGCTGCCCCAACCCCGAATGACGCCCCCCCCCCCCTTTGTACTGGGTGGCCAAGGCAGTTCTGCCGGGAGGAACAACCCCGTGCCGCCGTGGGCCTGTTTCCCCCAGCCTGAGTGGCTCTAGAGGTTGGCGCTAGCTGATGGTGCTACAGCCGGCCGAAAGCTAATGCTCTTCTGCCTCAGTTTCCCCCCTGCTGAAGTGATCTCCTGTGTGCCTGTGAGCTCAGCCCAGGGGGGAGGCACAGCCAGCCGTAGCCCCATGTTACGGCTGCCAGTGGGATCCCCCCCCCCCCCTTGAAGCATTAAAGCCGCCCATCGGCCTGCCGTCACTCATGGAAGGCCTGGAAAGGGGACGGCGGCTGGTGCAGATTCAGGCTGTCCCAAGGCCTTCTGCTTCCTGGGACCCCAGCAAGCACGCAGTGATTGGGGTGCGGGGCTGTGCATTCCCCCCTTCCCCCCCTGTGGATCAGCATAGGGGTCCCTTGCCCGACAACGAGAGACTGAGTGGGCCAGCCCAGGGAAAGGGAACCCAGTGGAGACACAGCCCCTTAGGTGCCTCGCCCACACAGAGCTGTGGGTCTCTGCCGTCATTGCTCCCTGCACGGTCCCCTTCGGAGGAGCCCGGGGCTGAGCCCGGAGAGAGGCGGATGCCCGGCTGCACAGATGGGCTGTCAATACTCCCTAGGGCCGTGACTGTTTGAAAACTGCACTAAGATTCGCTAAGCAGGGTTGAGCCATGTCCCGGGAAGTGGCTCACCAGGACTATGTGACCCTCCCACCTTGCCCCAGGACAGGAGTTTGTTTTGGGGGAGTGGTTTGGATTTTTTTAATGGTGGATCCAGCAAACCCAGACGGGAAGACTCCCTCCAGTAACGGCTTAATCCCCGGGGAGGTGCCGGTGATCTCTGAGGCACATTTCACCTCTCGGTGTCCTTCTCGCCTGAGTCTGTGGCAATGAAACAAGCGGGGCGGGGGGGGGCAAAGGAGGATCGAATGGGGTTCAGATTGAAAGCAAGGCCAGGGCGTGGTGGTGAGCAAATAGCTCCTCTCCGGCGGGGTTATTCCGTGTCTGTGCTGCGGCAGGCAGTCTTATTTTAAAACCACTAGTACAAGAGCATTTTGCACTATTTCTCCACTCTCTTCTCTCGCACGGTTGTTTTTTCCCGAACGGAGTGTGTCGATTTCAACAAGCAACAGTTCACCTTGAGTCCAGCCCTCCCCGGATGAGCCCCTTGGCTTCTAGTCCAGTGCACGGCACTGCCTTTTGCCCCACCCCCCGCCCCGCCGGCCTCGGTGCGGCCTGTCCACAGTGCAGTTATCTACCATTGTACTACCGCCGTTAACACACCAGATTCCGAGATCCCTGCCTGGTTTTTAATCTTTAAGCAATACTCACTACACATTTTACGGTAGCTTTTTATAGCTTTACATACATACAGTAGCTCTGTTTTGTTTTGTTGTTTGTTTGGTTTTTTTTTTTTTCTTCGTGTGTGTGTTATTGTTTTTCCAGTAAAGAAGAAATATACATAATCGTACTGGTGGGGAAAAAAGAAAAAAAAAGCAGTTTGTGAAAAACTGACAACGGATGAGGAGCTTAATGCTCTGTTTTGTACTTTTAAAAACAAATCTCACGTTTTATTAAAAAGTGAAGATTGCTGTATGCTATTTATTCAACTTATAATTTATGTTACTCTTTGATCTTTGTCTTTTCTCATGGCAAAGCATTTATTTAATAAAGTTATGCATTCAGTTAGCGCGGGTCTACGCCCTGGTGGATGTCTGCATGTGAGGGGGGGGCTGAGCATGAACAGAGCTCGCGACAATGTTTTGGAAGCAGCGTCACTATGGTAAAGGATGAGAGGCGCTTATAAAGCTTCATGCTTCCAGTTTTAGCCATTCTAACTATTTAAGGGGTTAGGCCAGGCCCTTCCTTCCATAGTTGCAGGGTTTTCTGTGTCTTGCTCTGAAGCTTTTGTTAGTGGCTTCTGTCAAAGATAGGACACGGGGCACCTCGAGTCTGCTCCATGCTGGCAATTCCTACGACACCGCTGGACGTTGCTAAAAGCTCTCACAAGGCTGATTCCTGGTTAGTTTGGATACCCCACATGTGACCAGTGCACGATTCCTGACTCTCCCACCGGCTTGCTGGGTGCCTCCCACAGGCCAAAATGTTCCAACTTAGGGTCCTCATGGGAGGCATCCAAGTGGAAAGCCGGCCGCTGCCTAACTTTAAGCAGCCAATTTGATCTTTGGTGGCTCTGTGCCCTGCCTTCCCCATTTGTAAAGTAGGCAGGAAATATTGACCTTCCATCATGGAGGGGTGGGGAGGGGCTTTGCATTCATGGCTGTGCCACGTTGGGCCCTTAGGCAGCTCCTCGTAACAATCTCTGCTCATCCTGATAAGGCCCCCTGAGCCTTTATGTCTCCACAGCCCTTCACAAACTGCAAGGACCAAATCCTCTGGCGAGGACGGGCAGAATCACACGCCCCAGTTTACCAAAGGAGAAACTCAGGCACAGCGTGGCTAATGGAGCTAGCCAAAGTCTGTGTCAGGGCTTAGATCCCAGGAGTTCTGGGCCTGTGGCCGAGTCCAAGGGAACTGAGGGGAGTGCAGGATTTTACTCCGCTCCAGTGCTTGGGCCAGGCCAGTTTTAACGTACTCCAGTGATGAGGCTGAGAGGAGAGACACCTTATCCTAACAGGATGAAAAACATGGCATCGGATCAGGCCAGTGTCACCGAAGGTCAATGTGTCTGGCCACACACGGAAGGGACTAAAGTCCTTGTGCACTGCCGCCAGACCGCTTAGATAAGGCACAGCCTTGCCTCACGGAGTTAGGCAGAGTTTTGTGAGGTCCCACACACACCCCGCAGCCCCAGCCCGATGCCCTGACTATATGTGCAGGCTAAAGGACCAGCCCCTCCTCCCATGGTTTGCAGCTGCAGCCCGGCTCAGGGAGGACGCCCAAGCAAGAGCATATTCTAAAGATCCAAAAGGGTGAGTCCTTACTGAAAGTGCCATTTCAAACAGACTACGTCACACTGCACACATCCAGGGAATAATCACGCCTTTCCAAGGACGCGGTTGCTGTGACAGTCTGGTCTTTACACAGCTTTTGGGGGTGGTGTGGGCTGCAAACCATATTTATGGCCCGCCCGTGGGGGGGGGATTGCCCGTGGGGGGGGTCAAACCGCGCCACCTGTTCGTGCTGTGTGCTCGCTGTAAGGGCGTCGCCGCGGCGGCCGCAGAATGCAGCCCTTCCAGCAGCCACGCGTGGCCAGACAAGAACAAGACATGGCCAGACACAAAGAAGAAACAGCAGCCCGAGTTGTTCGTTTCCCCTGGGATGGGGATGGGAGGCTGCAGTACTGGATCTCTGCCACCAGGGGGTGGTGGTGTGGCGCTGTAACTCGGCCGCACGCCCAGGCCCATGGACACGAGTCCCAAGGCCCATGGACACTAGTCCCAAGGTAGCATTGCACAGCAGCGAGCAGGCCCAGCGGGCGCCCCTGCAGCGCCTGCCCCCCCCCCACACACAGCAGGATGTATGGCCCCCCCCCCCCAACGGGGCAGGGTGGTGCCCCCTTGGTGCAGCAGGATGGAGGGGAGCAGGGTGCAGCCGGCAACTGGCTTTGTCTCTCCCTCTCCCTTGGGCTTCAGGGATGAGGCCAGCTCTCGGGGCTGACCCGTCAAGCACATGCCCCTTGGCCATTGGCTTGCTCCTCATCAGCCCTCCAGCACAGGGTGGTCTCGCTCACTCACGTGTGGCACTGGCCCTGGTCTGTGGCTCAGCAGACTCGCTGGGCCAGGCTCCTTTCGCCGGTATTGCTTTTCTCCTTAAAAGAAGTCGTGTGACAACCCAATTTCCAGCCCCTCTCCTCCCTTCCCCTGTCCACCACACCTGGGCAGAGGGGTGCTGAACCCACCTGCACAAAGCAAAGGCGGGCCGGTAAAGTTTATAGGTGCTGAAGGGTGACAATGACCCTTACGGCCACTCTTCATACAGACCTGACTAGCCGGCTCTGGCTTTTTGGGTCCTTAAAGCCGTCAGGGACCCACCCAGGTCTCGTCCCACCACTGACCCTGCAGATGTAGCCAGCCCATCCCCCCCCAGCTGCCTGCCTGCCTGATGACCCCCAGCCACACACACCTCTCCTTTGTTTAGGGGGCCTCCATAACACAGGCAGCCCAGAGTGGAGCCAATGTGCAATGGCCCAGACAGGGAGCGGGGCGGCTGTGCCCCGCAGCGCCCCACCACGGCCCTTGGCAACCAGAGCCAGCTGGGCTATTAGCACATTAGGGACTGATGCAGCCGCAGAGGCCAAAGAAAGGCTGGGGCTGATGCTCAGAGCGAGCTTCGTTCCTTTTTCCTCAGGTCTGGGAGGGCTTGTGTTTTCCATGCCCTCCTCCCTCCCTTGGTTATTGGGCCAGGCTGTATTGCCATTTGTAAATGCACTATAGAAAGCTGATACATGTGTGCATGGGGGGGGGGGGGTACATGCACCTGTGTTTGCGTGTGTGTGTGTGTGTGCATACGTTTATGTGTGCAGTGTCACCAGTCCTGAGCAGTCAAAACTCATGCGTCAGGACTCCCCCAAATCATGAGATTTTTTCACTCTCACTGCTCTTTGACACTTCCTCATTCCTTCACCTTGTGGGGAAGCCACTGCCCCCATCCTTGTGGTGGGGGTGAGGGGTGGCTGCCCTGCCAGCCATTGCTATACCCATCCCTAGCAACTGCCCCACTGGCCTTCTCTCTCCATGTTTCCCACAGTCTCCTGCCCCCTACATTCCCTGCTCATTGCCCCTCCTCGGATCGGTGCCAGGAGTCGAATTCTGGCTGGACTCCCTGGCTCTTCGCTGTACAGAAACAGGCCCCCCCGGGTGCCAGGGCCCAGCATGGTTTGGCCTGGCCACACATTTCAAAGGCGTTGGGACCCACCAGCCGGAGCGATGCTCGGGCCCACGCCGGTAGCTGCTATACGGATTTAGTGCGGGACCCCTGCTTAAAAGTGGTCAGGCCACAGCCCCCTGCCTGGCTATGTGGCCTAGCGACCTTTGCACAAGGGGCATTCACCCCCCCCACCCCACTAATTGGTGCCACTGGCTCCATCTCTGCCTCCCCCCACCATCCCCTGCACCCCCTCAGTCGGCCTGCTTCCTGCCCCCCACATTCCCTGACACCTTCCCTGTCCTGCTCCCAAGCTCCCACCCCCGAACCTGCTGGCCCACAGGCTCATTCCCGGCCTCTTTACATTCCCCTGGCCTCTGCCTGCCCCTCCCGGGGAGCCGCTATTATTTTCCTTCAGGGCAGGCCAGCTTCAGCCCCCTGGAAAACAAGGGGAGGCAGTGGCCATCTTTGCTCAAGGCAGGCTGGCTGGCACTTGCAAATATATGGGACCCATTACTGAAGTAGCTGAGCACGCACCACCTTTATGCATTTAGCTTCCCACCACCCCGGTGAGCGACGGGCTGGCTCGTAGCCCCATTTCACAGATGGCACACTGAGGCACAGAGAGACGATGTCTTGCCAGGATGTGTGCGACAGAACAGGGATTGAACCCATGCCTGGCGCCCTAACCACTGACCCGCTCTGCTGAAGTCCAGAGGACAATGAGGAACAAAATGATAGGTTAAGCCCCGTGTATGCCGTGGGTGATCCCACCAAACGGAATGAGAAATTACCAGTGGCTGACAGCCCTGCGCAGGCACCAGCCATATACTGGCAGGGCTGGGGCTGATTTGCAAAAATCTGTACTCGGGCATCACTGAATAAGTAACATCTCTGGTGAGCGTACGCCACCCACTGGATTGTGGCCTCACTCCATCAGGGTTCAGAGAGTATCTCTGACACAAGCATTAAGGCAGAGTCCTGTTGCAATGCCCTTTATCTGGGTCTGCTCCCACTCCCTCTGAAGTCAGTGGGACAGCTCCCAGAATCAGCCTTTAAGAGTCACATATTATTGACCAAACCCCACGTTGTCAAACGTTGCCTGAGCTGGAAACGAGTGGGTCACCTACACTCACCTGCTTTGCCAACCACCGTAAATTTGGGAGTGGGGATAAACTGTCTTTGACCCTCTTCTAGCGCATATCCCAGCCTCGCCTGGAACACACTGTGAAACCTCAGTCAGCACACAGAATCATAGGGCTGGAAGGGATCTCACTAGGTCATCTAGTCCAGTCCCCTGCACGCAAGGCGGGACTAAGTAGTGTAATAACTAGTTGGTTCCTGACATGGCATGGTACCATCTGGCAAAATCCCTGTTAAACCGGGACTATTTGTTATTTCAGATTGCCAGTGTCTGCTTTGTTCTACAAACTCTCCAGTACAATGCATTGGTTCAGGGCAGTTTGTTCTCAGCCTGCGGCCCGTGGGCCTCTTGCAGCCCAATCAGCACGCAGCTGCGACCCATGTGACATCCTCAGGGCCATGCATGTAGTATTGGATGCGGCCCACATAACACATTGTGGGCTGCCTGTGCGGCCCACAATGGTAAATAGGTTGAGAACCACTGGTTTAGGGTCTGCATCACAGACCCTGCAATTGGCCAGCCACAATGAGGCTACCAATCTGCTCCTTACTTAGCTGTGCCGGAGCTACTGTGCTCATTAGAGGCTTGTTCTAAAGGGCCAAAGTTTGATCCCCGCTGACGACTCTGGTGTGGGCCTGGATAGTCATGGTGTCTTATGTAAGCAGAACTGGGGTGCTCAGCAAATAATATGTAGTGGCCCTGATCCTGAGGCGCTGAACACCCAAAACTCCCTTGGACATCAAAGACAATTAATAACCAAAGAGATGGTTTCAGGGGCAAAAGAGTCTCTCTTTTAAGCGGGACTGCTCCTTTAAAGCAGCAGAGGACAGGGCAGCTTCCATTTCTAATGATACGGGAGACGCTTAGGCCTCCATGAATGGCAGCGGATAGCCCACTGATGTTCAACAGGAGGCTGGCACATAGCAACCCCTGGGAGCACGGGGCCTTCACGGAGCAAACGAACTTTAGGCTGGTATCACTGTTATTTGTTCAGCATCTTGGTTGTCGCATTCCGCATCGTTCATTAGAAAACAGGCCAGCACTGTGACGGACAGCCAATATCCTGTAATACGCAGCGGCATTGTAGTCGTGTTATCCTGGATATTGGAGAGACAAGGTGGGTGAGGTAATATCCTTTATTGGACCAACTTTTGCTGGTAAGAGAGAGAAGCTTTTGAGCTCACACAGAGCTCTTCTTCAGGCCTGTAATATCCTTGGGGAATTAAGATCAACTTTACTGGGAATTAAGCTAAACCTTATTGAATTAGGGTTAATACCTTTGGGGGGGTTTGGATTAAAATTGCAATTGGCTGTGTGTTATTGGGGTCATGTATGGGAGGGAGAATGCTCATGTAGTTCTTCCGTTACCAACCCTTTGAACCCAACCCCCTGGAGAGGCACACACGCTAGTTCAAACTGGATTCACCAGGGACCAATAGACAAAGAAAGGGCTTTTGGGCAAATCGCCTGGTTTTAAACTAGCTCAGGGTCTTCTTCCCGATCCAACAATTGGACAAGAACCATGAGCCATGGAGCGCTCCTCCAACTATTAGGGTAGGGTTGGAAAGACTGGACCTACTGAGACCCCATAAGACTGGGGCTTGCTCTGAGCTGAAGCTGTGATAGAATCAGAGAAGTGCAGGACTGGAAGGGACCTCGAGAAGTCTTCTAGTCCAGTCCCCTGCTGAACATATAACCACAAGGAATCTCCCCCGGGGTAGGGGTCTGAAGGACTGCTCCTGCCAGAATCCATGCCAGGGTTGGGGTTAACTCTGGTTAGCTCATTAGCATGTGTGTAAGTTCTTTTATTGTTTTAAGATGTTTCCTCTCTAATGCTTTTCCCATAAGAATAAAGTAGGCTTGCATAGGAAGTGCTGTGTGGGAACCAATAACCTTAGCAATCACACTTGTTAACCAGCTCTGAAGAGAAAGCAAACAGGTGTCCTTGGGCATTTGGGCTTTGCTAGGAATAACACAACAAAGGCAGGGAACTGTGCAGACAGGCAATGCTGGGGAGCTGGAAGCATGAATGGGTGTTCGTGCTGGGCCACTGAGGGGAAATACAGGTGGTTGTCCTTAGCTGTGACCAAGACAATCTCAGCTTCTGCCCTGTTCTCTTCCTTCCCCAGCCTCCTCTATTTTTCCTGTATTTCTTTCTTCCTTCCTTTGGGTCTGTATTTCCTTCCCTGCAACTTCCATCCCTCCTAGCCTTCACACCTCCTTTCCTCCCCAGTCTGTCTGCTACAATGATCACTGAACAAATGCTGCCATTTAAAATTCCACACGCCCACTTCGGAGTTAACCTCTCAGTGAAAGCTGGGGTGGCAGGAGGGCTCACACTGCTCAGAGCTATCGTTTCAGGCCCTCAACAGCCTCCCTGCTTTGGGTTATACGTGGCTCATACATGGAAGATCTTCTTTGCAACTAGGCGGGCCAAAGACTTATCTTTATTCAAAATGAGAGCATAACTGGTATAAGCCATGAGCACTGAATAAATGCAGTGGGCAGGCTGGCTGACGTATCGCTCTGTTCTCACCCTATACAAATGGGACCAATAATAATAATAAATGGCCACTGTCTCCTTGCTGCCCGTTGCCTCATGTTTACGGGTCAGTATTTGTGTGTGATGCACCAGGCACACACACGTGATGTATGAACGGATGGGGAAAAAAAGATGACACTTTTCTGGCATCCCATTTAATTTATTCCAACTTTACGCAGTTCAGCTTTTCCAAAAGAGAAAGAAAAAAGCATCATGATTTCTAAACAAACCAAAAGGTACAAACTGCAGACGAGATCAGATGCTCCCGAGGTTTATGTGAAAAGCAGAACCACCTCCCCTTTGATGTTAACAGAAATCAGGTAGCACCGATTTTTACAATGACTAGGTTTTGCGCGAGTGCACACACACACACACACACACCATACACAAGAGATGACTCCTACCCCACCCTTTTTAATCTCCTTCACACTTCATCTCACAGATGGGTGAGCTGGGGGGTTAATTTCAGAGAGCAGCGCCCATGCTGTTTCCATGTGACATTTTGATCCCTTCCAGAATTTTTTTTCTGTTCATATTAACAACGCTAAACCTGGGTGTGATTTCGCCCTCCCCCTTGATGCTTCTTTTGTCCGTTACAGCTCAGCATCTGCATTTAAGAAGAGTCTGCAGTTGTTATTGGTAACTAAGATCATCTTTGTGTGTGTGTGTGCTCAAGTGCAGGTGATATTTACCAACTGAAGGCACTGGTAACTAACTACAAACTAGATCACAAGAAAGTACATTAAATGGAGCAGCAAATATTCACAGAGCAAAAGAACAAATGTTAAGCCTGGTCTCACTTCCTACCCCAGGATGGTGTTCTTGGATTTACCAAGTACAGTTTCAGTTCAACTACTATACAGCAAGGAAGTGGACAGAAAGCCTAAGCCCAGAGGTGTGTTACATGGTTCGGCACAGTGAAGGTCAGTTCACACGCCCTCCTTTCATTTCAGCTGGTCACAATTTTGTGCAGCTTTAACCCCTCTCCCACTTCTATGGGCAGCACATGATGCACACAAGATAACGCAGCAGCTCCTCAAAATGACTCAGATGCATCAGTGGATGGTGGCTCTTTTACACCTTAGGCTGCTTCCCCATTGAGCTGCTGCACGTTTCCCCATGAGCAGACATTCTGCCACCTGAAAGCTCTTCCAAAGCACTTGTCCATCTTCAGCATGCCTGTCCGGCAGAGCCATTGTTGGCTCCAAACTCCCCATGGGCAGTCCACGTGCTTTGTCCTATCTTTTAAATCCCATTCCTTTCCTTTCAACTAATCACCACCTTAGAAATGAACCAACTTCCACATGCGAGCTGCTGTACAAGTTACTCAGAGGAGTTCGACACAAGGAAGCGGTGGAGATGTCTGATCTTCCTCTTTGAATATATTTTTTTTAAAATCCAACGATTACTCTAAGTGTAAGGACCTAGTAATTGTCCTGCAAATGTCACAGGTATGAAAAGAAAATCTCATGGCTTATTCTCAGCTTGTGTGTGTTTCATACAGAAACAAATCAATGTGTAAAGTAACGGTAGAGAGACATCATCTGTTCCTGGGAACTGATCTTCCAGTACAACATCACCAACAGTTCCTGGAATTGTGTTTATTAAATCTATGAGAGAGACAGAGAGAGAGACAGACACAGAGTGTGAGCGTGTGCGTGCGCACGCAGGGAAGGGAGTGTGGCGGGGCTTTCCAAAGCACTCTCTCTATATACTGCACTTTACTTACAAAAGGTGTGTGCTGAATGGCTGATGCCCCCGGCAACATATGAGGGACGTTGGCAGCCACTTGGAAGTGTGGGTTTTAGATGGGTTTTTGCTATTTAGAAAAAGAGGGGGAGAGAGACAGACAGACAGACACTCCCTGGATTGTTACCCTAAATCTGCAAGAGCCCTCCTCTCTCTGCAATTTAATTCTTGCTCCTTCCATTAAAAAAATGTAGGGCCCGATCCTGTGAAATACTGAGCACCTGCAATTAAATTAAATTGCAGGTGGTCAGCGTCTCTCAGGATCAGGCCCTTAATTACCACCTTATCAGTAAGGCTCCTATCCACAAGAGTGAGATTGCCCAGGAGATTGCGGGACTGGATTGTTAAGATTTAGGTTATAGAGATACTGAGAACTATCCACTCTCAGGGAAGTCTATGAGAACTGAAAGTGCTCAGCATCTCTGGGGAGGTTGCCTCAAGTGCAATGCATGGGGCTGGCTGTACAGTCTCAATTCCTTTCTCTCTCCATTGCCTCCCTGGAGGAGGGGGATGGGAGCTGCACACTGGCGTGATCCAGCTGGGAATTCCCCTCCTTTCCTACCCCACCACCACAACCCGCTTCATGACAAACCGAAAGAGCAGCTTGGCAATAGGGACAGGTTGACAGGGACTTGAGCAGGAGGTGATGCGTATTATTTACATTCTTTGGTCTTGGGGGGGCAAAGATTTTCATTCATCTTGTTTTGAGCATTATCACTTAGGCTCTTTGGAGACACCCGGGGAGCTCAGGACTCTACATTCAACAGGGCTGCTTGGTTTTCACCTGGGCCTCCCGCGTAAGCTGTGTTTTCCTTGCACTATGCTATCGCTTTGCAGTGGTGGGGCTAAGTGGGCCGAGGGGGACTCTGGAAGCACGTGGATGCTTAGTACGCTGCCATAGGGCAGAGCTGACAGAAGACAAAGCTTTGTCTCTCATTGACTTTACACGAAAGACCAAAGAAAAGCAATTTCTGCTCCTTCCCCCCTTGCAAACCACCCTGCACCCCGGTCCTTCCCCAGCAGGCTGAAGGCAAGAGAAGAGGGCCACAGGCAATGCACAAAGCCAGTCTTTTCCAGGACATAAATAGACTTGCTGAAACCCATGTAAAATCCAGCACCGGGGCCAGGCTGAGCTGTCTCCAGTGAGCAGGAACACATCCATCTACTGCGTGCGCAGGGCATGTGCTCCCTGCTCCTCCTGTTCATGGGCCGTGTAGAAGAGGTGGCACTCAGGGTCTCCGCGGATGGTAGGCGCTCCCTGGATCACTTTCCCAGTGATGGGGTTCACACACCAGCACTCTCCTCGCTGACCATTCACAGACATCTTGCACTGGGGAGAGGGGGGGGAAGAGGGGCGAGATGGACATGGTTACCGGGTGGAAAAGACACTGAACAGCAAATAGCTTCAGAGCCCACATGTCGGAGAACTGGCCTCCAGCTGAAGAATGAAATCAGAAGCCTGGTAAGACACGGATACAGACTCCTTCGCTTCTTACACTAATAATAATTAACACTGAGGTCTGCAGCCTGGATCCCGACTCCTCCCAGTGAGGAGAAGCTTGGAACCAATCTGACACGTTGACCCATGACAGGGCTGCTACAGGGGCATGCTTGGAGCCTGGGGCATGCTTGGAGATGGGAGTGTTTTGTTCAGGCCCATCTCTCTTTACTATAATATCTTTCCTTCTGAAAGAGCCCAAGATGCTTTGGGCCTGAACACACACACACATACTGCAATGCAACCACCTCGGGGGTGGAGAACGGCAGCCATAACACTGCACACTGGTGAATAAGCACTGGCCAAGGGCACCAAGCAAACCCTGCTCTTACTAAAAGGAGCATGAGATCTTTAGCGTCTACACAGAGCAGACAGGGCAAAACATCCCTGTCTGGATCCTTTCTCAGTGTGAGCCACTGCCACCCACATCCCCCTGAGACTTCTGGAGGGCCAAGCAGTAGGGTGACACCCTGAAAAGGGACACTCCCTCTCCTGGCTGCAACAGCTTAGTGCCAATTCTCCTGCAGCAGTGAGTAGCACTCTGTGGGGCCCGATGCCCTTAGCAGCTGCACTAGGCCTCATGGGGAGCTTACAGCCCCAGCGTCTTAGTGCAGAAGAGGGAATATTTCTCTGCTCCTGCAACTCTCTGGCTCCCTGCCCCTGCCTGGAGAGGGCCCTGGGCAGCAGGCCCAGGCCCAGGCCCTGCCCTGCATGGCAGCACCCCCGCAGCACCAGGCGCCTATGGTGACCGGTGCTGTCAATATATACGGCAGAGGTTCAGTCAGAAAGACTTGGAGCCTGTGTACACTTTAAAGTTGAACCGGAGCCACTTTCTGCAGCTGGACTGAGGGACAAAACACGAGCCATTCAGGAAAACAAAGGGAGTCCCTCATGCGAGACCCCTTCCAGGCACCCCGGTCCTGAGTGCTGGGACACAGGAGGGACTGGAACTGCTTTTGTTGGCAATTAGGTTTCCAGACTCAGGGCAGCAAACAAAAAGGAGCTGACCCCAGGGCACTTGGCTCTGGAAACACAGATGGAAGGAAAGTGCAAGGTGACCTTGGACTGCTGGGCCAGATGGAACCCAAGGACAGCCATGAGCAGTGCTCCAGGCTCGGGGACGAAAAGCTCCCAGCGAGAGCTAAAGTCTCCCAGACAAGCTCTGCAACAGCAGTAACAACAACATGCTGTCCTTCCCCACCAAAGATCTCAAAGCACTTAACAAACAAGAATTAAAGAGCCTTTTGTTGTCCCCGGGAGTTAGGTCTACTGATGGGGAAACTGAGGCCCAGAGAGAGGTAGGGACTTACCGAGGGCCACAGAGCTCATCTGTGGCAGATCCAGGATTGGAACTTTAGTGTCCTGAGACCAGGCCTAACCACAAGACTAACCCTTCGCCATTGAAAGGGCACGGGCTGGGGTTTTGTGCCTACTCTTTGGATGGTATTGCGCATGCCCTCCTCGCCACACAGCAGCAAGAGGGCTTATGGGCATTTACAGTGAACATCCTGCATGGACTCAGGGCCCAATCCAGCAGCCCTTACTCTCATGATAGGACCCTTCCTGGAGTCCACGGGGCTGCAATGTTCAGATGAGGAAGGGCTGCCCAGGTAGGTCTTAGGATAACATGGAGTGCGATTGAAAACCGCATTCCAACCAAACTCTGCTTTCATTGAAGTCAGTGGAACTGCACTAGGAGCTATGTTAGGCCAATGCTGAGTGCAGATGAAAAATTGCACCCTTAGGCCTTGTTAAAATGCCCATGGTGATGGACAGCACATGCAGAAGCTTCGTTAATTATCCTCCCCTGTCTATATTGTGCCCTCCCTTTTCGGAAGGTACAGCTCTCACACTGCCCCTACCCTTCCCATCTCCAGCCAGTCCCCAGGGGTATCAGTGGGAGACGCACTCAGTCAGGAAATAGGAAGAATAGGTTACTTGGGCCAGTACTTTGTTCAGACGATGGGAAAGTTCCAAGCAGGGCCGGGGGCCATGAGCCTGGGGTATCATCACCCTTTTGCCTCCGAGAGCAGGCTCAGAGGCCCACAGCTCAGCTGAGGACCTTTCTACAGGTTGCTCCAGCACCCACTGACACCAAGAGCAAAGCCCCCATTGACTTTACTGAGGTAGGATCAGACCTAATTAGGGCTCCGTCCTGCAAGGAGCGGAGAGTCTCCAACCAGGGCTGAGTGCTCTCAACTCCCATTAAAAATCAATGACAGCAGGATCAGCCCAGATTGGACGAGAAGTGAAACGTTCCCCAGCGGGCTGGTCCCCTGGCAGCTCCAAGCACAGAGGAGGCCAGAATGCAGCAGCTGGCCTGTCTCACAGTTCTCTCTTCACTAGGGAGTTCTGGGGAAGGATTCGCTGCTATTTCCAGTATCTAGCTGTTTGTCCTTTAGTGCAAAGCCCCCCCTGCCATTTCTCGGGCATGGTCTCCTCTCAGAAATCCACTTTTTAGAGAGGCTTTTTCTTCCCAATGCAAGTGAAACCTGTACTGCATAGGGCTTATTCCAGCCTAGATTCCTTCAGACAGATAATCCGTTTCAGGCGAATTAGCCAGGTCGATGGGGTGTGGTCATTCCAAGATAATTACAGCCCTGGAAATCCAGCTGGGCCATGTGCCGCTTCATAGCCCCAAGGGCAAGGAGTTGAGATTACCTCAGAGCCACCACACCCTTCTGTCATGTTCGTATCCACAGTGGTCAGTCCAGACCCCAGCTCAGCAAGGGAGTGCCTAAGGGAAAGTGAATGATCAAGCACTGGGACATGTCTCCTTAAGGCATCTCCTAGGTATTGATAATACAGAGGCCACTGAGGGAATGGCATGCACATCCAGGTGCAGTCCAAAGTCCTATATGATCTGGATCCTGACGGCATGAGAGAAACCACTCTTCCCAATGCGCCATCATGGCAGTTGAGATTAGATGGGATGCTCTCTCAGTTGCCAACTTTCCCGCAGTAAATAAGCCCCCCGACTTTCAGAATAAGCCGAAAATCAAGTTAATCCCATTTCAAAACAAGGCCAAAACAAGCCAATCTCCAACGCTCTATGTGACTAGATCCCCCCGGCATGCAGTCTGGGACTGTGGTGGGCCCACTGGGCACCCCTGACTCTCTCTCTCCCCCCATTGCCCCTGCTTGCCGGGAGCCAATCCAAAAAAAAAAAAAAAAAGAAGCAACAAGCTACAAGCCAAAAACAAGCCAACAAGCAACTCACAAGCCAATTAAGCCAAAAACAAGCCCAATTTCACCATTTTTTCATGGGTTTGGCATGTCTGGAGGCTCTCCCAAACAGTGGCTAGATCTGACCTTGTGGGGACAAGGCATTCTCTACAGAGGGTGTCTGGCTATGGAATTTGCTTTGCCTGTTGGTATGATAGTGCTGACAGTTTATTGACTTACAGGCTAGGGTGTAAAGCTCACTTGTTCACTTCAGTTTTTGGCAGGGATTGGAGGGAAGATTGTCCTGTTATTCTAGTTACAAAGAAGATATTGCATGGATAGGAAGGAGTAGAGAGAAAAACAATAGATATGATGAGGAGGTGGAAGGATAGATTGATGAGTGGCAGTGTGGCCTAGTAGCTAGAAGAGTGGACTGGGATTTAAGAGACTAGGGTTCTAATCCTAGCTATGCCACTGGCCTGCTGAGTGACCTCGGACAACTCACTTTACTGCTCTGTGCCTCAGTTTCCCCACCTGTAAAATGGGGATAATGATATTGACCTCCTTTGTAAAGTGCTTTGAGATCTGCTGATAAAAAGTGTTATAAAAGATCTCGGTATTACAGAGAGATTAAGAGAATCTTATCTGCCCAGCTAGTGAGACACTGAGGAAGAGGAATTATTTGGGGTGATACACATGGGTAATGGAACAAAATAACTAAAGGAAAATATAAACTGAATGACAGGATATGCTTCTTATCAATGAGGTCTAAGGAAAGAAATGGAAGCCTCTTTGGGAATTTTAAAACTAGACTGCGTGCAGGTTACACTCCCCAACTACTGAGTCAACAAGACTGCTTTTCCCTATCTTCGGGTTGTCTACTGCCACCTATCACCATAGCCCATAATCCCCCAAAAACTGTACTGGGAGGCAACACCTGTTCTTTCCTGTGGAGACCTTTCACCTGAGCCTGCTAGCTTACGGCTAGCTTACAAGATCACGGAAATCCCGTTAGTGGGGAGGGGTTGGGGCAGGCTGGTGGCACGAAGTTCACACTGGTCTCCTGCTGACAGATGAATGGCAGGCCCAAAGTCAAGAGGTTGGTTTTCAAAGTAGCAGACTTATCCTAGGACAACATTCAAATGAAACGATTTGGGTTACACCACACAACAGAGGCAGCTATTTTGTCTAGTGGATGGTGCTTGACTACTAGTCCGCACTCCTGCCTGACCTGTTCCCTGATTCTTCCTTCATATTATAATTATTAGCATATATACAGATTCCGCTCTCTTTGCTCATCCCCACAAAATAAATACAATGCAATATCCCAGCACTTGATCAAATGCATATGTAATAAAACATCTCTAAATCTCTCCCTGTCCTAACCCTTGTCCTCCTGCTATCTATCTCCTCTTTGTTCATTATCCCGTTATTTGCTATTACATCATGTCTCCTTGGGACAACCCCGTGAAATGCTTTAAGTGGGCACTAGCAGGTGACTAACAAGGCAGAATAAAGCTAGCCATTGGGGATCTGATGGGCTGGGGGGTGTGAAGTAGCAGTGAGGGTTCAGGCCACTCCATTCGTGTTACAAAGGACAGGGAGACACACGCATGCATAGCTGTTTTGGTCCCAGGATATTAGTGAGACAAGGTAAATTTAGATTAAAGGAGGAGATGTGGGCATTTAACATGGATTACTCCACTGCACCGAATGCCCCCTCTCAAGAGCACCCGATGTTGGTGGAGAGAGCCTGTCCTTGATCCCTGTTGATAAATGCTTCTTTGAAGCCTGTAGTAAGAATTTGGCTGCATGGAGAACTGGCCTTTATAACACTTTCCCATATCCAGATTGATTTACCTTCTAAAGGACTGCACTGATCGATGGTCAATTGCATTCACTTTGACAGCTATGCATGGCAGGGGTTCGCAGAGAAAGAGGCAGTTAGAAAATTATTTTTTTAATATTCCTTTTGCAGTAGCACCCAAATGGTAGCATGTGTTTTCCAAATACAGAAGACGACACATTCCCATCCCAATCAGCTCTCTGTGGAGCCAGAGACTAAACATTGCTGAGGCTAACATGCACTGCCCTCTATTGAATGGACTCAGAACTGCTCAGTTGTGTGTCAGAAGCCCTATACTGATAAAATCTAATGGAACTCATATGCTAGGGACTCATCCTTCTGGAGCATGGTAGATGCAAGTTCTATCCCCTGCTGCTTTTGTGAAGCTCCACATGGCCATGGTGTACTGCACAGTAACAGTCACGATACCCCTAAGTGACTATGGATCCAGTACAGTATTCAGGGTGGGGAGGGGAAAAATGTGCATTTTTATCAGTTTTGATAGTTATTAACATTCAGTTCCACATTGTTGGTTTTTTTAAAGTGTATAAACTTCCATTTTTGCACTAGCAGAAATTTTAAAATCCCCTGTAATACTAATTATGTATTAACCGCGTAATGATGGCAGAAGTCAAGATTCATGAGCAATTCAGAAACAGTCATATCTCAGGTAGCATAATCATTTCTTAATCTTTTGTTTTTAAGCACCGCCGAGCAGACTGTGCTGCAAAACACGCGCAATGATTCTATGTATCCCACTGAACTGGCACTGATGGAATTACAATGCATGTTTAGGCCCCACCTCTTCAGCTGGGACCCCAATGCGTGTTTATTCACAATGCAGTACATGTACCCAGGAGCAAAAAGATAATGGGCCTCACAGTTGCCACAGCTCCTCTACAGAGGGAGGGCATGCAGAGTGATTCATAACCCCGCTGCATGGCACAGCTGGACTCGGGTCTAGCTCTTCAGTCGCAAAGCCAAAGGGAACCGATACCCATTTTGTCAGAAGTCCTACTCCTCGTCAGGTGTTGAAAAGCACGGCACAGTGTCTGCCGCTACCTTTGCTAACTGCTGCACACCACCATGTTACTCATGCCTGGAAGTCTTGTAATGCAGCCTTCAATTATTATTATTGCCAAAGAGGCTGCGTTTGTGGTTAAAGCATTGTATCTAAAACACCCAGACACCGTAAAGCCACAGGTTCAAGGCATGGAAGGGCCAGCTCAGTCCTCCCTCTTTCTGAGGCTTATTCACGGAGTCTGGTGCTGTGTGCAGGAATGGGCTGTCTGTCTGTTCTGCCTGCACATTAAAGATCCCAGAACACTTCTGGTAAAAGTTGAGGTTTTTCCTGGTGTCCTTGGCCAATTTTTTCTTTCCCTGTGCAGCGGTGCGAGAACACTGGGTGCTGGGCTCCCCATCAAAGGTGCTGTATGTATGTAGGTTATGAAGGGCTTTGGGATGAAAGCTGCTGTATAAATGCTAAAAGCAGAGGGCCTATCAGGCCAAAGTCATCCTTTTCCTGTGTGGCCCATCCACCTTTCTTACTACAACTCACTAGCCAAGGGGTCAAACCCATCTACTGACTTAGCGGACTCTGGGCCCAATAGATGTCTTCAGAAAGGTGACAGATCTCAGCCATGATCTTCTTGGAAGGATGTACCCCAGGACTCCAATTCAACATCCTTCACAAAATCCTGGTAACTTGGAATCGGCATCACTCTTGTAGTAGAAAACTACTGAACTTTGGCATAAATCCTTATTCCCCAAACTTCCTGTCATTCTTTCAGGGTTTCCACAGGTTAGGGCATCTGTAGGGTTGTACAACACACCACAGAGCTGTCCTCCTCCCCACCCGCCACACGCACAGTTTAGTGGAACCCAATCAGACCAAAGGTCTGAACGTTTCATTTTTCTCCCATTTTGGGGAGAATGGGAGACTAAAACCCTTCCTCTTTCCTGTGCCAAGTCACAAGTATGTAAGTGTGGAACTCTGCACTGAAAGAGCCGCACAAACACGTTTAAGTAATTATCAAACAATCCTGCTATGATTAAGGAGCTAGAGGAATTGATTTATGGGGGAGAGCAAAAGGAGTCAATGCGTGGTGTCTGACAACCTTTACACAAGTGTGGGAAGGGCTTGTAAGAGAGAGTAATGATTCGACACCCAAAGTTATAAACCAAAGGGTCTCGGATGAGAAGAAAGAGAAAGTTAAGGCTCAATATCCGGAGAAACTTTCAAGCAGCGAGAGCTAGAAGGCTGTGGGATAATCTCCTAAAGGAAGGGGTGGAAGCCCAATTGCTCTGCACGTTAAAGAGTAGCCTGCACAGAGCACTAGGGAATAATCCTGCACTGGCCCCTGGGGAAAGATTACCTGTGACCAGCTAGGACTCTTCTGGCTCATATAAATGCCAAGTAAAATGACAGTTAATGTCCCTAGCTCCTGTCTAGACCTGTGGCCTGGCTCCTGGGGTTATGATGAAGCATTGCATGCTAGGACCCATGTTCTCTGAGGGCAGCACCTACGTACACAAGTTGAGGGCTGGTGTGAGCTGCCATTTTGTTCGCCCACGTCCGCCAATGGAGGAATGGCTGAACACTGACCTCAAAGCAACACCGAACGGTCAAACCCCAAGCGAAGGCGCACGCTTGCGGCGACATGCGCACAGGGTAGCCCAGCCGCTCTCCGCACTTGCCTGTTTGAGATTGTAAAAGCCTCGCTTGTCACAGTTGGGGATGTGCAGGGAGTAGAGGTGCTCCAACGGGCCACGCTCATCTGGCAGACGCATGGTGGAGATACGTTCCAAGACCTGATCCAATTCCTGCTGGCAGGGGGTCTGAAAAAAGGCCAAGAAAGCGAGGGAAAAAAAATTAAAATCAGGGAAACAGCAGGTTTCAGCCAAAACAAAAGAGAGGACAAATCCTTTCCCCTTTCTCTGACGTATGCAGGGGAAGGTCAAGGCCCCTGACAGCCACCTAGCAGGAAGAGGTATTGTTTCACTATTCTCACTCAGCACAGCCTTCAGGTTGCTCTCAACAAGCAAAGAGAAAAAAAAAATCCCTTCAGAAGCACTTGGAGCATTTACCAGCACAGCTAATTTTTCCTATAAGGGGCCCTCTGTCAAGGTTGTTCGACCTTCGAAGAGGGTCCCTCAAACATTATGACACACTGGCAAGTTGCCCAGAGACCCTGGCACTATATTAGCATGTGTACTTACATACAGCAATCAAGCCTTCATACACAATCATTTTAACATTAGCTTTACTTGTATTTCCCCTGATAGATTAACAGAAACTGCCTGTGGGTTGAATTCACTAGCAATAAAATACCCACAGCAACAGCTTTGTCTTTAAGCCAATTTTACTGGGGGGAGGGTTGAGGGGGGGGGCGCTTCACATTGACAGAAGGCACAGCTCTTTACGAACACTACTGCAGCAGGCTGGGATTTTCAGTGGAATTTAAGGAAGTTAAATGCCTAACTCCTATTAAATTTCAATAGGATTTAGAGGCCTAACACTCTTAGACACCTTTAACAATTCCAGCCTTAGGCCTCTATTAGGTAGAATTAAAAAGATTGCACTGCCCAAGGTAATCCAGACTGAATCTATGGGGTGGATCTCAATGCAGTCTCCTGCAATTTTATGGAACTCAGTGGGATAAAATCTGGGAAAACACCGTAACAGAGAAATCGTAGCCTGGAGGCCAAATGTTCAAAAAGAGCACCAGCAATATATTCTGGGATGTCCAGGGAGCTGGATGGAACGAGGACTGGCCAAAAAGGTTCCACAGGCATAGGCGGGAAGATTTCCCACGCTACAAAAAAACAGTGGTTTGAGCATTGGCCCGCTAAACCCAGGGTTGCGAGTTCAATCCTTGAGGGCGCCATTTAGGGATCTGGGGCAAAAATTGAGGATTGGTCCTGCTTTGAGCAGGAGGTTGGACTAGATGACCTCCTGAGGTCCCTTCCAACCCTGACATTCTATGATTCTATGAACAAAATGTCTGTGAGTTGCATCACAGCATAGAAATAAAAACACTATGTGCACCTAACAGCTACAGAAATTGACTTTTTTTTTTTTTTTGGAAGTTGTGTATACACTCAATATTGCGGCTGCTGAAATAAGTGGTTATATGGTACAACTAAATTTTTTATCTTGTTGTCAATATAATATCCAGGTGAGACTATGTGAAAGCAGAATCATAGAATATCAGGGTTGGAAGGGACCTCAGGAGGTCATCTAGTCCAACCCCCTGCTCAAAGCAGGACCAATCCCCAATTAAATCATCCCAGCCAGGGCTTTGTCAAGCCTGATTTTGTCAAGAAGATTTTTGATAGTCAAAAGTCCCAATCCCTGTACTTATTTTATTTAAATATATATATTTTAGGATTTAGGCCCTGTGTTATATTGTTCATTTTCAAGGAAAATAACAAATCTCTAGTTAGTGATGTTAGTTTAGCTAGCTGTGCTGTAATGGTTTATCTTTGGGTAATTTTCCCTCTGATATTCACCCCTTCTTGTTGACGGCTGAGAATAGGCCACTTCCACCTTCATTGAATTGGCCTCGCTAGGGACCCCCCACTTGGTAAGGCAACTCCCATCTTTTCCTGCGCTGTAATATATATATACTGTTTGCTGTATTTTTCACGCCATGCATCTGATGAAGTGGGTTTTAGCCCACAAAAGCTTATGCCCAAATAAACTGGTTAGTCTCTAAGGTGCCACAGGGACTCCTTGTTGTTTTATCTTTGGAATGTTACTCAGTAAAAAGAAACCTGTAACTGCTAGTTCTGTGTGTGTAGAGCTGTCTTATGGGAAAGACTCATACTTGATTCCTAAAAGGAGCGAAGAAAGTGAACCCTATTTTTTCATATTGAGAGTGTTCCTATAGAAAGTCCAGCTGTTGTGTCTTACAGGGATATGAATTCATGGTCTGTGCAGACACCTTAAGTCAGCCAGAGGAGTTCTGTAGCACAGAAGGGTAAGTAACTCGATTTACCTCCCATCTATGTAGGTTACATGGCACTGGAGGAGAATCACATCGGACTGTATTTCTTTTAAGATGCTCCAGTGATTCTTCCCTATGGCCTCCTCCCTTTTTGGATTTTGGGTAGTTCCAAGGCCCATTATACAAGGAATGTCTGACTGCACAATTTCCCACAGCCCCTACTAATCAGCTACCTTTTCCCATTACTTGGCACAGCCTACAACTTGCTGCCACCCTTTCCCTTTTCTACCTCCCCTTCGATTTGGAAAATGCAAGGCCACCTGTGAGGAGCGAGCTCCCCAGGCCCCTCACACACTCCCAGAGCACAAACGCTTTGGAGCGAGTCTTAAAATCATTTTAATACTCTACTTCGCCAGTCTGTGTCAAAAACTTTCAGGGACTCAAACTTTGCTTGGCACAAGGCCAGGCAGAGCAGGCAGAAGCCAACTAGATCAGTGTTTCTAGCAATTATAAACAGACAGAGTGGGAGGAAAGCCCCTTGTAACATGGCTGCTCCAGGGTGATCCAAAAGATGTGAGCACAGGAGTGGCCTGTGTTTCCTCAACTCAGCAAACCGGAGAAGATCAAAACCTGAATTAGAAAAGTCACCACAGGAGGGACCAGAGACTGCCTGGGATTCTCACTTCTGCTGGGTGAACTAAACCAGTAAGTGAGTTGACTGATATCCAGGATCATTAAGGGGCCAATCCTCTTTCCTGTGCCCAGCCAGCATACCCAGTTTGGGGCAGGGGAACTTGCTGAGGATCAGGGGGTTGAAAGATTCTGCACTCTCCAGCCTCAGGGCTATGGTACACACACACACAAGGGGCAAACCCTGCCATGGGTGTGGGAGATTAATAAAGAATCTGAATATCAGTGGATCTGCTGGCTTTGTCTTCCCTCCTCCTTAAGACCATCTATTCCTCAAGCTCCCTGCAGGGCAGTGGAAAGAGTCCCAGAGGATCTGGGCTTCCCAGTGCACAGGGGATGTATAAAAAACTGCGCCCGTTCCACCAGGCTCAGAGCCTTTCCAACGCCCCTGTGGTGAGCAGGATTTACCCCCCACAAAGAATGTGTGTCGCTCGCAGAGTGTAGGCAGCGCAAGTTAGGGTTTGATTAGTAAGAGAGGGAGCATTCACGGACCTTACAAGGAGTAGGGATGTTTTCATCATCCTTCCCCCTGCACCCCAAACGAAGGGCCCGATTCCAGGCTTTACTGCAGTCCCTTTGTGGCCTCTGAGCCACCATAAAGAGGACACAAAACTGTCATAACTGGCACCTGGCTAACATTGCCAGCACCAGGGCAGGGAAAGGGTGTAAAAAAATAAATAAATAAAACAAATAAAGCCCTGTAGAGAGGTGCGCTGAAGGAGTCTCCTAGGCCAGGTGAGAGGGGGACTGGATGGTGCTTTGCGCGTGGAACTGTTCTAGATTACACTCTAGGCCATGCTGGCGCCCAGACACCGAGACGGAAAGGCAGCAGTAAGTCACCTTTGCCCCCCTCCAGGAGTTGTGTATTCTGTGCTGCACCCCTCAACCTCACCCGGGTCTGGATTTAAACAAACATTCTCCTGTAGCGCTAGATGCCCAAACCCAATGCCCTTAGTCTACTACTGTGGGTGCCAGTCAAGTCTCCGCACTGCAGCTGTTAGATTGACCCTGGCAGTTAAATATTTTTAATAAAATCTTCAGTTCTGCAGGCATCAGCCATTTAAGCCCCTGGTTGGCAGGGATTTTAAACCCCTTCTCTCGGTGTGTTTATGCCACATCCACCACTGTAGTGTCTAAGCACCACTGACAAGTAACAAAGCCACGCACATTGCAGCAGGGTTTTCTGCCATACACAAGTCGAAGGTTATGTCTAGACTAGACACCTTTCAATGCAGCTGCACCACTATAAGGTGTCCCGTGTAGCCGCTCTATGCTGATAGGAGAGAGCACTCCCACTAGCATGCTTATATCAACCCCAATTGAGCGGCAGGACAGCATCTCCCGGCGACATAGCACTGTCCACACGGGGGCTTCTGGGATGTTTTCCACGGCCCTGAGTGACGTACGTTTTACAGATAGAAACGGTAGTGTAGTGTGAATCAGGGTCTCTAGCAACAAAGCCTGTTGGGCTGATAAACCACGAGGGACAGGTGACAGACCGAATCCCTTTGCCCTGCTTCTCCTGTTTTGCGTTGATTTCCCTTTGAGAAGATGACAGCTTACCCAATGGTAAGCTTGCTCTATGCTCCCTCAAGCGCCCCACAATTTACATAGCCAGCCAACAAGGTGCATGGTGGATTAGAAAAGATTTTCATGACAATGCTGTACAGAAGCTATGCCTAAATTGTCCACTACAGGGATGAAGTGGCCACTTATCGAGATCCTTAGGGACACATCCCCACACATGGGAAAGGGGACTAGGGAGGAATCCTCTCCTGCCAGGCTGCAGAAGATAGGCAGAGCTGTTTATCAGAGGCTACTTCAGCCAAGCCTATACATTCCATTCAAGCCAGCAAAATATGGGATGGAGGACTGATGGATCCATACAGCTGCAGATTCATAGGCTCATCCTCCCTCCCCTGGCCCACTCCTATCTGCCTTCTATGCCAGTGCAGGTATACACTCCCTACAGGACTTCCCTGAGCCCAGATCCAGTGCCTTGCACAGAATCATTGTACTGGCTCTTCTAAGGCCATGGACACTGGGGACAGGACTTTTACCAAATGTAGCAGGTTACAGTGCTCTTCCTCTGTCATTCAGAAATTGCAGTCTGCAGAAATAAGGAGGACCGTGGCCTGTTGGGATCTGTGGTCTCCGTGGGGCATGCCTCTACAGGGAAGATGACCGCCCACTGCCCACTTTATAGACTGCCATCATTGCCTGTAGTATTTATTTATTATTTTGCGTATGCAATCTGGTCAAGCCAAGCCACAGCATTCTTATCCACCATGTTCAAAGCACGAAGGCCTCCAGGAAGTTGAGTCATTTTGCAGTCCTCAACAGTATGCGTCATGATTTATGGCTGCCCACACTGACATAGTGGACTGTCTCTAACACACCAGCGAAATTCTGCTGCAGCACAAATTCCATGCCCAGTACGAAACCGGTTCAGAAGGCTCCATTGCCTTTGTGGTCAATCAAACCCGGGTTGACGTTAAGTGGGGTCCGAGACAAGATAATTAGTTGTCACTTTCTCTGAAGACCATGAAGCTCGCCACGTGTCCTCTACCATAAATCCCTCACCCAGTAAATGTATTCACATTGGGTGCTGTGAGGGCAGACAACCATGTGGTGGGCTACAGTGGTCTTCAGTGAACTGAAGTGAACCTGTACTGTACAAGAATTAATCAAAGATTCCCACAGGGATGTTCACTGGAGTCATCTAGAGAAAAGGGTGTGGAGACACCACTGTCACCTACTGCTGTTTAGTAGGAACAGGTCCTGTTCCTACAAAGGTGGATGCTCTGCGTCTCTTTTAGTACTTTGCTGCATAACCCTGTAGGTACAAGGAAAGCAAGGCCTTCTCACTAGCACACAAAGTTCATTATTTGTGTGTTTGAGCCCAGTTTCAGGCCAAAACAAATGTTTGCTTCATTTGTTTGCCCTTTTTAAAAAATGCTTGTTGCAAATACGACTGACATTTTCCCCTGGGAGTCTGCAGCTGGAACTAGGATAATGATGATTCTCTCCCAGCCCCCCCCGCATAAACACACAGGTTTTGCCAACTGACCCTCATGGACGATGGCCGTAATTTCTTCAACTCTTCATGGTTGTGGTGGTGCTTGACGATTTTGCCCATCTGTCTCTGCTGTTCATTCACTTTCTCTCGCATAACAGCAAGCTCCTTCATGCCAGGCTTCATGGGCTTTCTCCCGCCACCTCCACTCACCACACCGGGGGTGCCATCCACATAATTCCCCGTGAGGACTTCTTCAGGCTCATCATCACCATTTTCTGCGTAAGACAGAAGGAAGGAAAAGAAAAATTCCAATCATTCACACAATTCCTTCCTTGATTGTTTCAAGGCTAGCACATTACCAAGCCACAAATGTTTAACGCAAAATTTAAAATCACATTAGCCCTTTAATCTGGAAAGTAAGGATGGCTCCTTTCATTAGCGTGTAATTACCTCTCTAAAAGATAGTTTAGAGCAGAGGGGGAAATCATTTTTGAGATATTCTTTCTGGTTTTATTTGCCCTTCTAAATTACTTACTTAGGCATGTACTTTTCCCATCAGAAGTCCAGTTGGGTTTACGGTGCCAATTATATTTTAGCTTCAAAGTTTAAAACTGAAGCGATTAGTAACGATACTTTGGTTCTATCTATCATCACCCAGTGTATCTACAGGAATACTTACTCCATATGTGTTAAAGTAAACGTTCAAGACTGTTCTCTGAAATAGCCGGCACTGTTTTATTTTGGCCCTAATTTTTTGGTAGAACCTGCCATTTCAATGATACTTCTTGACAGGTCCAACTTCAACCAAATATGCTACATTTGGCTACTTCTCTCGACTCCAGCACAAGTGCAGGTGATCTGGGCTAAACATGCCACTGTTTTCAGCTTCAAGACCTAAAATATAATTTAGCATCATCAGACTCAAGCAACAGGAAAACTCAAGGTTACAGTTGGGCTTACTCCAAAACTCTGCACACCTTTTGTTTCTCCTACAATAGAATGTGTAACATTGCGATCAATCTATTGCCACCTAGGTCATGGTTGTCACTCTGCTGCAAACCACAGGCATTATGCGGTAGCAATGGGTTCTCCAGCTTGCTTCAAAAGCACAAGCCCTGACAACTCTCACTGCTAAAAGAGAACCTTGACTAGCTGTTGGCAGTACAGTGCCGAGGAGACACAGAGGAGCAGTTCAGTTGACAGTAGTGGAATGCACACACATGAGCCAGTCATTACAACAGTCTAATATTTGGTAGATTTTTCTCCATTCTTTAGGAGCCTGGAGCTCATATTAGCTACCACTGTGACAAAAGCTAGGCCTTATTCATCTCTCAAAAGAGACATGCGTACAGTATCTTTCAACATGTATAGAACTGTGTGTCATGGAATATAGATGCATGGGCTATACCACAGTTCACAAAACAGTCCTAATTTTATGGTTCTGTCCTGCTTCCTAGGAGACTAAGCTTGTAAAACATTTACGTATTTCTACAACATGATGTTACGTCAGGACATAAGTGTGCTCTCAAGACAGAGAGAAAATACTTAAGGCTCTCCGTGTCATCCTAGGAGCTGGGCAAGGATTACTTTCCAATAAGAATCTTAATTGTTTACATATCACAGTCTCCAATTTAATCAGAAACAGATGATGGTGTGGGGGGACGATGGCAAATTAAATTGCCTTTAAAATGAATAGAATTAAAAAACAAATATTGTGCCAAGCCCCAGCTTTCTGAAAGTCATTTGAGGATTTTAGCCTTTTAGTGTTATAAAGCAGAACTCAAAAACACGACCAAGTTTTACCCATTTCCTAGACATACTCAACTTTAGATGCTGGTAAATTACAGTTGCGAATGAGTGGTGTGCCTGCCAATAAGGTCAGGATTTACGACCAACAGAGAAAATGAAATGGTGCTATTTTTTCACTCAAGCTTCTCCACGGCTTCGTTCAGAAAAAACCCATGAGCACGAGCTAATGGAAAGCAAGTAAATCTGCAGGGGCAGCCAGTCCTTTCCTGATCAACTCCTGTTGCTTCCTGCTTCTCACTGAAATATATATATATATATATAAATTTGCCCAAGTAAGCATTGTTCTAGTAAAACAAGGCCAGATGGTAAACATCTCGTCAGCTAGTTCATTCACAAAATCTGCTTCTGATATTTTCATACCATTTTCCCCCCAAAGCTAACAAATATAAAACCAAAGAAAACATTGGATGTGAGCACAGACGCTGGAGATGGGAGAGAATGGTTTTGGAAACAATCGTGTTAGTCTGTATTCGCAAAAAGAAAAGGAGTACTTGTGGCATCTGATGAAGTGAGCTGTAGCTCACGAAAGCTCATGCTCAAATAAATTGGTTAGTCTCTAAGGTGCCACAAGTACTCCTTTTCTTTTTGGAAACAATGTGATCGTAAGAGTTAAACTACAGCAGGAGCCAGAAATCTCCAGCTGGTAGAGACTGCATCCCTTCCTTTCTGACGCAGATCTGTCCATGGTGATCCTTGCTTTCATCACCTTTGGACTGGCCTCCTAGAACATGCCCTACCTGGGGCTGATTGCAAGGGCTACGTGCAAGCTGTAGCAATTTTTCTTAGGGCAGGGCTGCAGACTCTGTACGGCTCCATGTCCAGTTCCAGTTCTTCTTGTCAAAGTCTTGTAAGTGGGCTGTGGCATGACAATGCAGCTGACAGACGTTAGAATAAAGCTCTTATGAGGTGGGGACCTGCAGCTGGGTAATGGGGGGGAGGAAGGATCACCATCATCAAAGTTCAGATCTTGATTCTTTCAGAGCACCATGTGGGACATATTTCTTTGCATAGGTTGTTCCTCAGTAGGGGAGGCGACAAAGTGGCCAGCCTGTTTTTTTCCATTCCCTAGATCAGTGGTTCTAAAACTATATTTGGTAGACCCCAATGGTCCATGGAGTATTTGCTGGTGGCCTCCGAAGAGCTGGCTGGACATATCGAGCTGACTTTCCTTGTTTCCAGCTGCTGCGCTGCATTAAAATCAGCTACAAGGACTTCCGCTCTACAATGAGCGAAGAAATAAGAGCTAAATGAGGAAGCAGAGAAGACGGCCCATGCTTGGAAAGCAATGCGAGTCCTTTAATACTTGTAATGTGTTCAAGCTGTGTGTGTGTATGTGCGTGGGGCAGACTGGCCTGGATGAGGATTACATTTGACAGAATCCATTTCAAAGAGAAAGCAAGCATCCCTAGTGCAGGAATCGGTATGCAGCAGCAAAAGCTAAGAGAGAAAAAGGACTCAAGGCTGGAAGAGCACACAGAAGACTGAGATAAACAGTGACTTTTTACAGCCAAATGTTTTTTTTAATGTTGCCTGAGAGAAGCGATTCATTTTGAAAACCACTATGAATCTATCCAGGAACCAAGTATGCCACCCATTGATCCTGAGGTATTGGGTGGGGCAAGCACTGGTTTGCCTTTGTGATACATCTCTAACCCATCTGTCATATACCCTTCTGCCAACCAATTTCAATGTACACTAAATATATCTACTAAAAAAGCAGTGCTAATATTCAAAACTATTATGTTTTATAGTTCTTCATTTTTCATATGGCATGTGGAAAACATCTCCTGTTCTCTTTTGGACCAAAAGGGAGAGTGTTTCACACAGGGCAGGGTCACTTGTTGTAGAAGTCAAAGCAGATAGCAGAAGTGCTACCTAATATGCATTGATGGGGAGTCCATGGAATACCTCCGGGAGCGCCAAGAAAATGAGTTCTCTCAACTTTCTCTGTAGAAACTTCCCATTAGCTTCAATAAGGTTAAGGTTAAGATTTGGCTGCAATTAAAGCCCATTTAAAAAGTACATCAGCTAATGTCTGTAATGCATTACACAGTCTGACCAAAATTTCCAAAAGCGGGCACCAATTTCCATTGCTTCTGTCTTTGGGAGGCCAATTCGTGCTCTCTAGGGGGCTCAGGTAGAATACCTATATAACATTGAGGCCCTCAGAATCAGTCTCACTATAACAAAAACCGTTATTATTATGACAACGAGGATGAATTGTATCAGCTCCCGAACACACCTGAATTGCAGGTTGGACTTCTGCTAATAGCATTCCTTTAGGGCAACAGCTCCAACCTGAACCACGAGCTGCATGGGCAGCATGCAATGTGTTCCTGTCCTTCCTTTGAGCACCATTCTGTGTCTATTTGTTTTTCTTTAGCAACAGCTCACATGCACTGTGACAAATTCAACGACTTTGTCTATCTCACATGTTTACAGAATGCCTAAGTGCTGATGTAGGCCCCAGTCCTGCAATGAACTCCACTCACATGGACCCCAGCACTCACCCAGAGACCCTTTGACTTCAGTGGGGTTCTGCACTTGCACAGGGAGCTGCTTACAGTGAACTCACTGGAGGATCAGGGCCTTAGAGGCCCAAAAGTATACATTATTTTCTCTCTTGAATAATGGCACTCTGCTTGCTACAGCAAATTTCATCTGAGGACATCAAAACATTTTACAATTAATTAACTAGGCCTCACAACATCCCTGAGAGAGAGGTATTGTCCCCATGTTGCACATCAGTAAACTAAGGCACAGAGCGGTTAAGCATATTGCCCCAGGACAAAGAGCAAATCAGTGACAGAGGAAGAGAACCCAGGAGTCCTGAATCCTCATTCCCTGCTCTAATCACTAGACCACACTCCCACCCACAAAAACACAAGAGAATCATTATAAATATGAAATCAAGGTGGAGCAAAACACCAAAAAAGCCAGTATTCATTAAAGCAAAGCTGTCTTTTTGACACTGTTTTTGAATGAAAGCCATAGGGATGGCTGCAGAAAGATTACACGGAAAAGGGTGGGGAGGGAGCACATAAACATCACACCCACCCGTCCAGCTGTCCCCTGTGACTCTTCTGAAGTCATCTTAGCGTTTTCAGGAGCAACTTGGGCAAAGGTTCCTGTGCAGTGGCTCCAGAGAAAGATTTTGCTCACGTGGAATTCAGATAGCCGAGAAAGAGGTTGGCAGCAGCAGTCATATCAGTGTTCCGATTTCCTTGAAACAGGCGCTTCAAAGAACAAAAGTTCCCATGTGATCTCTCCACCCACACACACACCCACACAAAATCCCCGGCTTGTTTGCTCACTGACATTGCTCACAAACACAGGGCTTTGGGTTGATGCATGTCACCTTTTATATGCCACCTGGTCTTCTCTGGAAGCACTTTCTTACAGTTCAGCTGCAGAAGCAAGCAGGATTTGTTATATCTCCCTGAACGGGTTACAGCTCAGCATTTAC